ACTCTTATTCCTGGTCTTGGTACTTATTAAATCTGAGTGTATATATAAGATATTATTAGAGTGTTTGTCCAGTAGCTTAGATTATAAATAACCCCTGTTCTTGCTCATTTTAAACAATGTAGTATGAATGATGCCAAAAAACAGGCTAGAACATTTTCTTCTCTCCAAGATCTTAGATTTTGTAAACAAGGCTCTGCTCCTAAAACTAATCTAGGTCATCATAACCCCAAATCTTTTGAAAGATGAGAATCCCAATTAAACTCTTAGGTTCTTTTTAATACTGCAAATTTATGAAATGTTTTAGGTCTTAAAAACACAATATGTTTGGATTGTATAGTCACTTGGCTTACTTGTACCATGTGATAATGAATACAAATCACTGGATAATCATTTCAGCAATAATGATCACTGGAAATCTCCATGTGAGTGGAAATTAATGTAGCCTTTTATGGCTTAATTTATCCAGTACTGACCTAGCAGCATAATTTTTGAATAAAAACTGATTTAATGAGAAAAGCCATAAATTTTCTTAATTCCTCAAATTGTAAATTTTAGTTTTATTTAGTCTTTCTTGAAAATAAGTTAGTGAACTGTGAAATGTGTTGTTAAAGTGACATTATTTAACAAACTGGAAAAATGTCAGTGTCATAAAAATCTTTCTAGGATAGTCTAGATTTAAATTTTATCTCTATTGATATTAATATGGGATACTACTAATGTATTACCCTTTTATTTGTTGGTGTGTGTGTATGTATGAATGTACATTTGTTGTTTAATAACATAGAACTGGTGTTTGCAAAAGAAAAGAGGAAACTTAAATTGCTTGAGAGCCTGGTGTGCTGCAGTCTGTGGGGTTGCAAAGAGTCGGACACGACTCAGTGACTAAACTGAGCTGAACTGAGAGCCAAGTATTGGGCTTGATGGCTCATAACTCTAGAGAAATTATTACTGCCACTTTACAGATGAAGAAATAGACTCAGATAGCTTAAATCATTTGACAGCACAGCTTCTTAAGTGGAAAGAACTTGAACCTTAGACACTCTAGCTCTTCTCCATTGTCTTGCTGCTTTAAGGGATATTTCAGTAATTAGGTTGTATTTTGTGCAAACATGTTTACACTGTCAACCCCTAGAAGACTTACCACCAGGGATGACAATATCCTTTTTGTGCTGTTTTTCAAAATTATTGTATCTTGTCCCATTTGATCCTTACAACATACCAACATTGTGGTCAAGAGAAGAAGAAAAAAAAGATTTCTGACTTAGAAATGAACAATTTCAGAGAAGTACTTAAGGTAGACTTTAGTCTAGAACCCAGATCCTATGGATTTCTACCTCCTTTACTCTCTGAATCAGGTATGTGATCTGTGATCATGAAGTAGTGAAGTTCACAGATTGAACCTTTCATTGTGTCCTTAATGTAACTATAGCCTGGCTCCCTGTTTAGCAGTCACATCCTGTTTTTCTGTATTGTAGCATCAATGACAGTTCTGAGGTGTAATGGGGCTGCAGTGGCGGTTATTGAATGAGTAATAAATAGAAAATGTTAGCTTGAGATTTTTGTATTTCAAGCTTATTCTTACATGATGCCATATTTGTCTTAGGAAATATAATTATGGAAATATAATTATGAAAGGGGTTGTTAAAAGCACACAGATTTAGGAGTACCTGTGTCCTGGCTTTGCCCACTTAGTTTTGCCTACTTGAGCAGGTTATAAAGCAGTTTCCTCGTCTGTGAGGATAGTAACTACCAGAGTCAGAGGAGATGGGCATGTAAAGAAATCAGCACCATGTCTGGCCCATGGGCCTACATATATAGTGGTGGTGGTGGTGGTTTAGTTGCCAAGTTGTATCCAACTCTTGCGATGTATATGTTGGTGGTGGAGTCGCTCAGTCGTGTCCAACTCTTTGCGACCCATGCAATGTCATAATTACCTTTGAAGGGTTCTTTTTTTCTTCTAGCAATGTATCTTTTTTGTTTAAAAACTATCCAAGCTAGCATGGTTATCTCTTAAAGACAGATATCTTAAAAGATATCTCTTAAAAAGAGAAATCTTAAAAGGCTTAGATACCTGAAAAGATAAGGTATCTTAAAAAGCTTCCTAGATGGTTCAATGGCTAAAGAATCTGCCTGCAATACAGGAGACACAGTAGACAGGTTCAATTCCTGGGTCAGGAAGATCCTCTGGAGGAGGAAATGGCAATCCACTCCAATATTCTTGTCTGAAAAATCCCATAGACAGAGGAGACTGACGGGCTACAGTCCTTGGGGTCACAAAGAGTCGGACATGACTGAGTGACTAAGCACAGCATCTTAAAAGTAGATAGTTCAATTATTTCTGCTAACAGAGGACACGGATTATGTGAAACAGTTAATATTTCAAATTTTTCCATTCTGTATTTGGAATATGTAGCTTAAAAAAACTCATGGGAGATCTGCATCCTACTTATTTCCTTACATTAGTATAATATAAATAATTTACATTTCTTGAACTGGCCCATTTGGAGAACACAATTATGACCCATACTGGGCAAAAAGGATTTTTTTCCCTGGTTGAGGGCTGAGAATTGAGAACCTGAGACTAGTACTTAGTATAGCATTTTATTGATATATTATTCAGATTTTTAACTTGTTGACTGTTGAGATTATTTATAGCATTGTGTACCACAATGAACCAGGGGAAAAAGCAACCATTCTTCAGAATTATAATATAAAGTGCCATTTTGAAATTTATTTACCATTTAGAAAACTGGTAGCAGAGGAAGCACTTTGCTAAATAAATCTCATGGTTGCATTTTACTTTTTAAGGTAGCATGTCTCTTCCAGTTCATTTTATTCACTTGTAATTACATGCTTCTGATTAAATTTAATACTTTTAATAAGTTCTCTTTGAATATGTTAATAGTTTTAGATTATAGAAACTGGCTATTATTAGTCTTCAATTAAAAATTTTAAGAATTTTAACTGAAAGGAAGTATTATAAAACAGTTTAGAGATCATATATTCTTTTTTTCAAAGATATAGGAAGAAGTTAATTTTGAATTATGCAATTATTTATCCAAAAATTTTTAAAAATATGTTTCCTTTGGTTCTGGTTATATGACTTGAATAAATAAATGTTTGGAATTGATATTCTTATTTTAACTTGTTCTATTTAACTTTCCATGGTTATGAAATCAAATAAAGTAGTATATGGAATATAAATCAGTCATGGTGCTAGGTAAGCAATAATGTAGACAGTTGTAGTATCTCCCTTCAAAGCACTTAGAGTGTGGTGGAGGAGAATGTCCAACCAGTCATTTTGCAAATAATTATTTAACATTTTGTGAGCTAAGTACTAAGAAAAAAGTATAGGGAGACTGAGACTAGGCTCAGAGAAAGCTGCCCTGGGGAAGAGAAATTTAAGGGGGACTTATCAGTGGAAGGGACTGTGGGAGCCCACTCCAAGCAAATGAGGAATAGAATTTGCAAAGGCTCTTAAGTTTTGAAGAACCTTAAGAATCCTTGGTCACCAAAAAAAGCAGTCTGACTAGCAAAGAGCACCTTTTAGCCTTCACAATAGTCCTGTGAGTTAATTCCATTTTATAGACAAGAAAACTGAAGCTCAGAGTAGTTTAGTAAGTTGTATAGGGTCTTGCTGTTTGTAAATGGCAGGTTCATATTTTGAACCCAAGTTGGTCAGCCTGACTCCAACATCCTTATTCTCTCTACTCTGCCATTCTTTCTCTGAATCACTTAGCTCAGAGGTTATTGTGCTCCCAAACACATCTCTCTCTTGTTATTTCTCAAAAGGCTTAGCAGCTCTCCTTCTGGCTAATTGTTAAGCCAGGTTCTTCCTTATACTACTAAGGTAATAAGGTTTAACTCTTAAAGGTTATATCTCTTGTATTCTATAGAACTCCAGGGATCCTCAAAGCTTTTTCAAGGGTAGGAATTTTGTAGATTCTGGGACTGATATGAAACTGCAGTGTTGTTTGTAGCCTCTTATTTAAAAATAGTCTCATGGTGCTCATGGGGTGCTTTCATAGTGCCAACATTTCCATCAGCCTCTCTGCCCTATCCGCAAGACACTCCACATAAACAAAGATCTGAGTAATAAATAGTATGCTTCTGCTGTTGCCTCTGCCTACTCTCTCCTGTATAGAAATCCTAATGCCACCACGAGTAATGTATTTTATTGGAAGAATGCAAATTTAAAGGATTCCATTGCTTTAAAAGTTTGAAAAACACTATCCTAGTTTGTGTGAAGTTCATGGGAAATATTTCCTAAATGAGAAAAATTTCTGATTCTTCATATCTGTTTATCTCTTACTATCTGCATTGACTCCCCCAAACATTTTTCCTAGAGGGAAAAAAAATTCCTGAAAAATAAATTTAATTCAGACTCAGTGTCATTGTTTTATGTTTTTTGTCATTGTTTGTATAAGAAGAGATTTTAATGCAGATACCTAGTTAAATATTTTATTGTCAGAGTTTACTGAGCAATTTTTTCTAAGCAATCTGTTAACCTCAGTTTTTCTTACCCTCTAAAAGGCACTGCATAAATTTGAGGGAGGACTATTTTTAGGCTTTGTCTTGTTTTAACTAACTAATCTTGCTTTTCTTGGAATTTGTGAAGTTTGTTGTAAAGTAATTCATAGTTCTGGGTAGACAGAGGTTGATGCTTTATCCTGATTGTCCTAAATTTTTGTATTCTTTGTTTACAGAGGGTTTTACATGGTAGAACCTGATTTACTTGAAATGCGAAGTAATAAATTGATTCCCTCCACCACCCCTCTTTGTCCTCTGTTTTATGTGAAACACCGACTGAAGTGAATGTTTGCCTTATGAATTTCTCTCCATTTTAAAAGTACCCAGAGACGCACATTTTAGGGGCTCATGCTAGAATACTTTGTCATTATCGTCACACCAATCTTTCCTTTCACGTTGCCTAAACACAGCTGAGTTGGTAAGAGGAGCAAAGACAACAAGATAGCGCTGCCAAGTAGAAGGGAAGCTGTAGTGGACCCAACGAGCAGGGGCGGCGGAGCACACCCTCCAATCAGCTGTGAGTGCTGTTGCTATGTGCGCTCGTACTCTGCTGCCTTTGTGAAAAACCTTACACAGAGCGAAGCGAAATCAGCACCCACGGCTGAACATTTGTTTTAACCACTGCAGACATCTGGATCCCTCAGTTACTGACTGTATAGCTATTGACAGCCAGAAGGCAACTTCTTTTGTACAAGGATTCCAGTATGGTTTTCAGTGGAAACAAAGGGCTTCACAGAGAAGGTGTGTAATGAAGTGTTTTAACGGCTTTATTTTTAAACTTCCAATTTTCAGTAGCTGTTTACAGTTGCAGTGTTTGCTTTGCGTGGATATTTAATAAACAGGTGTAGGAAAATGATCTCATGTTGAAAAACATAGAGAATTTTCTTTACCCTCAAGTAGCCTGTTTTCTTTGAACAGCATGGCTTAAAAGATTATTAAAATGCTCATCTGAACAATGAGGAGGGAGAAAAGAAACCAAAATACAATGTGCTTACTTTAATGGGGGAAAATATGACAAAAACGAGAAAACTGGGAAGAGAATAAGGTTTAGACAGAAGTATTAACTGTACTTGGGTGCCGGAGGTTTTTGTTTTTTGTTTTAGTTTTTTTAAATAGAAGCTCTTAAGGAGAATGTATTTTATAGAAGTTATGTATTTTAACTGAAATTCATTGTTTCTGAATTTGAGAGATTATCAGAATTTAGCTTAGCGAGAATTTTGACATAGTTTTGCTGTTCTGTCTTTCTGTAAAGGGTTTCTGAAGATGCAACCTCAAATTGTATAAGCTCTTAATTGTTTGATCTGTTGGCTAGTTCTTCTCAGTTCAGATAAAGTATAGTAGTAAAATGCAACTGCAAAGACAGTGATGTGTTCTATTAAATAAATGTCCATATATAAAATTGAAAATATAAAGGATTTTGCAGACGAATTAGAAATGTATAAGATACTATTTTAAAATTAAAGCGAGCCTTAATTAAATGTAATAATTCCTTATCTGAATTAGTTAATACTGCAGATATAGTAAAGTCTTATTAAGTTAAACCTCACCAATTCAATATTTGTAATAATTAAACAAAATATGGGTTACAGCTTATTTTTATGAGATCTGGAAAAACCAGTTTATCCAACTAATTATAGGCAAGTTTTAAAATATCTTAGATAAACAGAAATCTTCACGCAGTTTCGAATATTGTTAAATTATATTTTACATAGTTGATTTAGCTAATGATTCTTTTAAATTAATTAAAGCAGAACAGAATACTAATTAATATATTGCCCATTTATAAACAGTTTTCTTTTGTTTATCTACTTTCACCTGGTTGTGTAAGTGACTTCTTTTTAATTCACTAGGTAATTTATGTTTGAGTAAAATTAATATAATATAAATTCCAAGCTAATATGTGAGCTTATTATATTTTATCTCTACAAATGATATATTTTGGAATATGATTGGTTTTGACATTATTCTCTTCAAGAAGTGCTTGGTGCTTGTCATTAGGAAGGGTTAGCATTATTTGGTAAGCGAAGAGAGATTTTTTTTCCTTGAAAAGAACTCAAAATTATTTCATGCTTTTGTGCACATTACTGACCATTTTTAAGGGTACATGTATATTTATAAAGGTATTTTATGTGAACATACATGTTGCTAAACTTAAAATCTGGCATTTCTTAGTTTTTTTCAGTTTGTAGCCAAAACTTAAACTTGATAGGAGTTATAAAAATTATGGCAAAATAAAAAAAAATTACAGTAAAATAAAGCTATTATAATACTTTGTACTTGCTAGCCTTCATGATATAAAGCACTTATTTGCAGAAGAGAAGCTGGGGGGTGGGTGGGCAGGGATGGGAGGCAGAGGGATATTAAATGGGCCCAAACTCATCAAATACAGCTCTAATCCCATGGAAGTCAGTCTAGTTATTTCCCTTTTTTGAGTTATCTCTCTCATCAATTACTCATTTTATTTTTTAATTATATGACCACAGAAACCGAAGTGTTGCTTGTATTGGTTCTCCATCTGCTTGGTTTATTTCTTAAGAATTAACAGTCTTTCCAAGAGAAGGATGATTTCATTCATATGCTGCAAAAAAAAAAAAAGGAACATGATATTGGCAAGAAATTTAGATCTGCTTCTGTGTCACACAAAAGCCTTGCCATTGTGTTGTAGAAGAAATAGTCTCGGCAGAATCCCAGACTTCATTTCTGGGCTCATCACCTAAAGATTGTTCTTACACATCTTATACATGTGAGAGTTCCTGTTCAGTAACAGAACCTCAGGGTAATAACTGATTTTTTAAAATCTGGTCAAGGCTAGTGACATTGCTAGCATACTTCAACTCTTTGAATTTATCTGTTACTTGACGATAGAATATTAATTGTCTTATTCTGTGTCAGATCTTTCTGGCTTTATTTGTTTGTACTTGTAAATATAAAAATACTTCAGTTCTCAAAAGTAGTGATTTCTTTTTTGTCTTAGCCACTTGATAGGATAGCAAATAGAAGCTTTCATATTTATCAGATGCGGTGTTTGCTGTAACAGATTTTATTTCAAATAAAATATTTTCATTTTTAAATCACCAGGCAATAATATAGAAATATGTAGATAGTATTTCATTTATAATTCTTCAAAAAATTTCTCTTATTTAGAATTTCAGGTTAAGAAGGGGTAACAATCCAAGTATTTCTTTTTCTTTTGGTCTTTTGTGAAATCTTTAAAAAAAAAAAATTTCCTACAGCAAGTATTATCCCTAAGTGTTTGATTTCTACATGTATGCTCTAAGTATTGTAATACTATATGCAGTGTTTCTTTGATTCTTTCTTGTAGAAATTCCATTCACTTATTCCTGTCCTGAACCCAGAAGAGATTTGATTATTATAGTCAACTCGGCAAGTAAATTTTGTCCGAACAACTTTTGATTAGACATTTTCATGTAGCAGCAGTGCTGTTACGTAAACTGTATTGCTTTTGCAAGAGTGGCTCAGATGGTAAAGCATCTGTCTACAATGCGGGAGACCTGGGTTTGATCCCTGGGTGGGAAAGATCCTCTGGAGAAGGAAATGACAACTCACTCCACTATTCTTGCCTGGAAAATCCCATGGACGGAGGAGCCTGATAGGCTACCGTCCATGGGGTCGCGAGAGTCCGACACGACTGAGCGACTTCACACACACACAATCTTTATAATCTTTTTAAAAAAATCTTCAGATGTCATCGTATCTAAAATCAGAGACCCAGGTTTTAAAAACATAGTTGTTTGGAGTATTGCTTGAATCTGATTATATAATCCTTTGTGATGAGGCTGAGTTATAAGCTATTACTTGATAAACTGGAAATATTGCCTTGTTGTTTTCTTCGCTGGTCTCAGTTTTACTCATGCAAAGACTTCTGAACATCAAAGGATTTGAATTATAAGGTTTATGATAAGCACAGGGACATTAAAATTATAAATTACAGGAGGTAGTCAAGATAGAGTAGAAAAAAGAATTGGGTCCTAAAAGTCGTATATGGGCCTCTCATTTTATGTAAGCTTCTTGTTATCCAGAGTATGAAAAGAAAACTCCACCAGTTATTTGCAATGCCTGTTGTTTATGTAACATTTTATTGCTAAATATTAGCCATTCTCTTTTCTTTAAAAATTATCCTACATTTTTAATTGAGAATTTTAAGTATGCTGTAAATATAATTTTTTATATTTTTCTTCTAAGTTTCACATATGCATATATACTTTTATGCAGAATCTCAGTTTTCTAAGATACTTTATGACCCAGAAAGTCTTGGAAACTTGGGCATTTGAGCAGAAGAAAGGGCAGAGCTGGACTTTCCTAGTAGTCCAGTGGTTAAGACTCCGAGCTTCCAGTGCCTCCACTTAAGGCCAAGTGAGTTCAGTCCCTGATTGCGGAACTAAGATCCTACATGCCTTGCTTGGCATGGCCAGAAAAACAAACAAAAAAGAAGATAGGGCAAGGCTGATAGGGAAGTATGTGACTAAACCTCTGAAGAAAGATAATAGTCAATAATGGCAAGGAAATAATGAGTAAATGGGAAGGTAAATGAAGAAGAGGAGGCAGAAAAAAATTTATTTGATAACAGTGTTATTTTTGGGGTGTGTGTGTATGTGTATGCATAAAAGTTCCCACCAGACCGTCTCTGGGAGTGGAAGGGAGTTGGTAGCGGCAGCTGAGGCAGCGAGGAGGTTCCAGAAGCTCTCGGATTCTCGCGGCAGAGTTAGGGATTTAACTGCCACCATGTCTAGCAAAAGAGCAAAGACCAAGACCACCAAGAAGCGCCCCCAGCGCGCGACCTCCAATGTGTTCGCCATGTTTGACCAGTCCCAGATTCAGGAGTTTAAGGAGGCCTTCAACATGATCGACCAGAACAGGGACGGGTTCATCGACAAGGAAGACTTGCATGACATGCTTGCTTCCCTGGGAAAAAATCCAACTGATGAGTATCTGGATGCCATGATGAATGAGGCTCCAGGTCCCATAAATTTTACCATGTTTCTCACGATGTTTGGTGAAAAGTTAAATGGCACAGATCCAGAAGATGTCATCAGAAATGCTTTTGCTTGCTTTGATGAAGAAGCAACTGGATAGAGCCTATTGCATGCCCTTAGCTTTACAGCTTCTGCCTTTCTTGTTGTATTTATTCTCAGCCATTTGGGGCACATGCATCTCTATAATCAGACTGGATGTGGGACTTCTTGTCATTTTAAGAATAGAAAATAGGGTAATTTAACTTACCAGCTGCCGTCTACCCTCCCCGCCCCCAGTAACTGCCGTCTACAGAGTCAATATATTTTTTCAGAGAAGGTTATTCACTCAATTTTTTCTGAATCATAATTAAACTTTATGATAAAAACTTAAAAAAAAAAAAAAAGTTCCCACCATCGCTGGGCTGACTGACTAGAGCTGGTAAATTCACCAGGGATTTGTTTACTGGGAAGTAACTCATTTCTGACTTTTCTTTTAAATTCCTCAACTAGGTTCTGATAAGGATGACCTTGTATTTACCACTCATTAATGACAAGGGACAAGTCAGCTGTCTGGAAACCAGAAATTAAATTTTATCACATACATGATGAATGTAACTGTTTTGAAATATAGGAACTTACAGAATAAAAATCTGGTGATGTAGGGGCTAAAATTTAAAAACTCAAAATTCCAAGCCAAAATGTTCAGAAAATGGTCTTTTGTCATTTTAATAAGTACACAAAATTTCAGATTCTTTTTCAACTAATCACATTATTTTCATTGCTTTGGGTAGTGATAATTTTATGTTATTTTGGGAGAGAGATTCAATTTGGTTCCCATCTTGGTTTTCATATTTTCATCAAGTGCTAAGATTTTGTGATTCTTAGATGAGCATATTTAGTCTTCCACTTCGGCTGAAGATAAAGTTTAGCTTATTGAAAATTAGAGAACCAGCAAATGTAAAGAAAAGACAATCTCTTACAGGTTTGCTCCATTTTTTTTTCACTGTCAGTGCATTCAGTGGTACTGCCCAAGTGGCTTCTGCATTGGATCCAGAAACTATTTTACATCTAACAAAAGGGTAGGAGAACCTTTTTAGAAATACATTTCCTGGTTTTACCTGACTGCATTGCATTGGTATGTTTGTTTACCTTAAATCATTTATTCTGAAAATATCCACATAGAAAAAGAATTAAAAAATTGCTCTATGTCATTGTTTTATATTTTTCATACTGACTGAAAAATATCAACCCTCTTGCTAGAAAAAAATGCATCTAATGTATATACATAGATAATTTTGTGGAAAATAGCCAAAGGTTCATAAATTCTCTTAAGAAATCTTATTAAACATAATTTGGTTTTAGTCAGAGAATAAAAGCATTAATTTTAGAGAAGTGAGGTTTAAAACAGATTGGATAAGAACTTCAGGATATGAATGGAAGCAAAGTATTAAGTAGTGAGTGTGCAGTGCTGTTTTGTTACTTTTGAGGAGAGGGGAAATGTTCTAACATGTACGCCATACATTAGTACTCTTGCAGATGGATTTGTCCTGAGGAGGACCCCACAGTCCTGTGCTGACTCCTCTATTCTGGATGAGCTTCTGATAGAGAACCTAGTCAAAAGGACCAGGCCTAGAATGTGTAATATCTAGATCTGAGGACCTACATATCACCTCTGAGTTGTAGGTTGAGATTACAGGAAATCTCAGATACCTCCTTTGGCCTTAGACTTTCACCTGGGTGCTCTTCCAGAAATTGCTGTGTGCTAGAGATGACAGACCCACTGCAGTGGATGGTACCTAGTTCCATCTTTGCTCTAGAGAACTGAGCAGAACTGATCTTAGTGTGTGTGCTCAAGTTTTCAACTCTTAATTAAAAACAACTCTGCATCCACTTTTTATTTCTGCTGGAGTTTTAGGATTCACACATACCAACAGTCAGTGGAAAATACAAATGTTGAGGGTGCTTAGAAGAAGGAGTCATGCATGTGGTAGAGGGAAGGAGATCGAAAGGACAGAGTGTATTTTGGGGAACCAGCCTATGTTATAACCATATTCCCATGAGGTAAAAATGTAAGAAAGACTAAATTAGGTCAAGCTTGAGGATAATTTTGGAAAGCTATGTGCCAGTTATCTGAGTTTAGTAAAGCTGGAACAAAACAAAACAGCACTAGAATAGTAGATGGTTGCTTTTTTTGCACAGGGTCATCTTTGGAGTGTAGAGCTAAATCTAGAACATGTGGTTTTGAGAGACAGGACTTTGCTTCCTTTTGTGGCAGTGTTTTCTCAGCTTTTCGTCCCCTACTTCTTTCTGCATGTGGTGTGGAGTGATAACACCTATATGATCAGAAGTATTCCCACAAAAGACAGTCAAAAGGACAATATTTTCTACTTTAGTATTTTCAGGCCCTGAAACGGTAGTGAATTAGGCTTAATGATTTACACAGAGAACAGAGAAAGTAGAAAATAAGATCAGTGCAAGTAAGAAAGAAATGAATAAAATCTGTATAGCTCTGTTTGTGTCTGTGTATCTGTGGTGTATGGCGAAAAGCACAATCCTGGTAACCTGAACTTAAGGAGTCAAAACAAATGGACACTAGTAAATTTTGTCAATGACCCTGACAGGTTCTAATGGTTTCATTTTAAATATCAAGTCTTCTAGGAGCTTTCTCTGATATCTAAGATTGAGTTCCCACCTAACCATTCCCATAGCACTGAAATATACTTCTGTTATTTATCAAGCATCACCCTGAATTAGCTTTACCTGAAAGTACTCCACAAGACTGTCCTCTGCTTGAAGGCAGAACAGCAGCTGATTCTGCCATTGCCTTCGGAAGATGAGGTGGGTTTCACTTGAATTTTTTGACACATAGAGACTTAGTTTTCCACTTTTACCTTCTAGCCAATATTTAAATTGCTTAAAATTTAGTTTTCTTTCTAGAGCTTAAGTTGCCCTCCACTCATCACATAAGTAGTCAATAGGTTGGTATGAAGAATTCTGTTATTCCTTAAAAGACTGTTGAGACCTAGAATTTCCAATAACAGATATGGAAATTAGAACTCAGAAAGTGCTCTCTCTCCTTTTAATATTTTTAAATTATATGTTTTTGCCCTGGCCTAGAGATTTGGTGACTACCTAATGCAATTTTTAAAATTTCAAAAACAGGTATTTCCTTGTCCCATTCAAGAAAATCATATAGATAAGGGCATTTAAAAAACTCACAAAAAACTATTTCAGGGCAAAATATTAAATTCAAGATAATTATCTGGACAGGGAAACAGCAAGCCTTTATCACTTTAACTGGAAGTAAGCTTACTTACTAAAATAAGTAAGAATACAAAATGTGATGCAGTATTAACCATTCATTATTTTAGCAAGTGTTTGCGAGCTTGTTCATGCCAAGTACTATGCTGGGCAACTATAAGAGATGATCCTTCTTCTCATGGACCTTAGTGGGTTAGAGAAGAGAGGTAAATAGTGATTTATTTGTGTGTGTGTGTGTGTGTGTACTAAAATTTAGGAAGGAAAAACATAAGATACAATGGACTCGTCTCCTAAAAACAATAAAACATCATGGGAGGGTATAATAGGACCAGATGAGCTTGGATAAGACCTAATTAAGAATTGTGTATTTAAGCTGAACTAGAGCTCATCACATTATTTTATACCCTATTCTCTTAATCTTTAGAACTTTGATCAAGTGGTAAAGTTAAATTTTTAACTTCATAAATGTGTAAGTCGTAATTTTAAAAACTCATGTACAAGAGTAACAAATCTAATTTGGAATGAACTTAGAGAAATTTTTAATATTTAAATTATTTATAAGTTTTTGGGTGCACTGGGTCTTTGCTGCACGTGGGCTTTTGCTAGTAGTGGCAAGTGGGGGCTACTCCCTAGTTTTGGTGCACGGGTTTCTCATTATGGTGGCCTCTCTTGTTGGGGAGCATGGGCTCTAGGTGCACAGACTCAGTAGTTGCAGCTCCCGGGCTTTAGAGCAGAGGCTCAGTAGTTGTGGCACATGGGCTTAGGTGCCCTGCAGCATGTGGGATCGTCCTGAATCAGGTATCAAAACGGTCCGCTGCATTGCAAGACAGATTCTTAACCACTGAACCACCAGGGAAGCCCTAGAAAATTCTTTATGAAGAAAAAATTTTAAATCTTCCAAAGAATGTGAATGGTGAGATTTGAACCTTTAAAATGCAGTTTTTAAAAAGTTGGTTGAAGTGATTTTTGAGTCACTAGCTCTGATTTTGGGGAATCATTGAAAAATTACTGAAGTATCAAGAATGGAAAAGCAGTAAGTGTTAGAGTTGGAGTGCTCTCCTAAAATAATACACAAAGGATAAATCACCTCCTTACCACAGAGTTTTCCCGTGGTGTGACTTTAAGAATACTGGCATAGTTGGAGAGAAGGATTAAAAAGATTGAGGTGGGGCTATGAGGCTTGTGAGGAGGGGAGTGCTGGAAACAAGAAATTCTAGTTATTCAATGGAATAAAGAAGGGATAAGATAGCTCGAGGTGGCCCTGTGAGAGAATAAGATCAGGTGGGCCAGAACGTTTGATGCATAAAGGGCAGTAATGACTAAAGAGGTTTAAAAAAAGTGAGATAGCATCCCTGTTCACCTCATCTCTCACTGGTCCCCTTTATGAATCCAATGCTCTGACCAAACTGAGAATGCTGAGAGATGAGATATGGAAGGTTGTTAGTAGAAGCAGCCAGACTTTACCATTGAGGACTTGTTGGAGACAGGAGAAAGGGAAGAGGCATAGATCATTCTAAGATTTCAAGTCACAAAAAGCAAAAACAGCTGTAGTTGGAAACAAGTTTTGTACTCTGACCAGCACCCCATGATTATTTTTGTTTGTGGTAGCCTATATGTACCAGGATCAGTCTGTGCTTGTGGCCAAAGTGGTACTGACAGTAAATGGGATGGGAGTATTTTATAATTTCAAAAATCAGCGCATGTAGAATCAAATATTATTTTAATTGGAATAGGTGTCTTGTTTCGCATTCCTTCATTTTACAAGTAAGTTTGTTGAGGGTCACAGAGTTTAATTGACCTTTCCCGAAGTCTGGAACTAGTTCATGAGAGAGCTGAAATTGGAATCCAGATCTTCTGGCT